TCGAAAAGAAATCGATCAAGAAAATACTTCATCAATCTTAATCAGATTTCGATCATACCAATGATCTACTATAGTTTCTGGAAGATTATCTATCAAATTCTATCACAATACAAGGAGAATGCAATGACTTCGAACCCTCTCTTCAGCCAGATCCTAACGTTTTTCTTAATGAGTGACAGACCCACCACCTTCTATCAAATTACAAAAACACATTTATACTATGAAACTATTTTTACTTTCATTCGCATAAAATAATCAAAAACAACAAAAAAGAAATTTATCTTCTAAAACTCATTGTAAAACATTTCCATTACTAAACAATTTACAGTCACTAAAATAGAAATAAGATTTTTCTTTGAGTAAACGAAAATTTCTTTCCCAAAAAAACAACAAAACCACTCAAAACCATTGAAACGATCAAAATGAAGAAAATTTTCATTCTACATTTCCATTTCAGAAAAGCATAGAGACCACCTAAAAAACCATATTGGTTCACAGAAAAACAACGACAAATATAAATCCTATTCAAAAACTCTGGCCACCTAATTAAAATCCTTTACAAACAAAAGAAAAACAATGATCACTACTTTTAAACTTAATCAAATATAATTTAGTCAATTTTCTTTTATTTTTATATGCCTCCACAAACAATCAAACACATTCCCAATATCTAAACATCCACAGAAATTCAATTAATCAAATCTTTCAAATCCTTCTCGCAATATTCCTTCTCATCACACATTATTTGAATAACTTGTTTCTGAATTTCATAATGATGAGATGAATTCGAATATCATCTCATGATTATTAAAATCAAAAATAATTCAATATTCTACAATTATTCAATATTTTTGAAATTAATGATGATGAGATCAATTCGAATATCACCTCATGATCATTAAAATAAAAAATAATTCAATATTCTACAATTATTCAATACTTTTGAATTTAATGTTTATGAGATGAATTCGAATATCATCTGATGATCATTAAAATCAAAAATCATTCAATATTCTACAATTATTCAATATTTTTGGATTTAATGATGGTGAGATGAATTCGAATATCATCTGATGATCATTAAAATCAAAAATAATTCAATATTCTACAATTATTCTATATTTTTGGATTTAATGATGATGAGATGAATTCGAATGTCATCTGATGATCATTAAAATCAAAAATAATTCAATATTCTACAATTATTCAATATTTTTGAATTTAATGTTTATGAGATGAATTCAAATATCATCTCATGATCATTAAAACCAAAAATAATTCAACATTCTACAATTATTCAATATTTTTGGATTTAATGATGATGAGATGAATTCAAATATCATCTCATGATCATTAAAATAAAAAATAATTCAATATTCTACAATTATTCTATATTCTTGAATTTGATGTTTATGAGATGAACTCGAATATCATCTGATGATCATTAAAATGTAAAATAATTCAATATCCTACAATTATTCAATATTTTTGAATTTAATGTTCGTAAGATGAATTCGAATATCATCTGATGATCATTAAAATCAGAAACAATTCTATATTCTACAATTATTCAACCTTTTTGAATTTAATGATGATGAGGTGAATTCGAATATCATCTCATCATCATTAAAATCAAAAATAATTCAATATTCTACAATTATTCAATATTTTTGGATTTAATGTTGTTCAGATGAATTCGAATATCATCTGATGATCATTAAAATCAAAAATAATT